TCCACCCCAGGCCAGGCCCGAAGAAGGCCCAGCGTAGAGCTGGTTGGGAGCTTGTCCACTAAAGGTGTTTCCATCCAAAAAAAAAAAAAGCTGATTTGTCAAAACCAAACCTATCCTCGGGAGAGATACCACAGATTTCTTGACTCGACAATTTTTGAATTTTTTCCCCCCTGAAACTGGCCAGCTTAATGGAATGATCTGAAATTAGCCGTAGTCTTTCTATTTCCTGGCCGGATGCAAGATGGGATAATTGTTCAAAGTCTCAGTTTTCACAGGAGGAGAAAACCAGTTCCCACCCAGCTCCCCTGGCAGGTTTCCTGCAATGGAGCACGCAGAGTAAAGAGCAGTGAGGGTTGGGGGCTGTTTGAGCGCCAGCCTTCAATTCTGGAACCAGGACCAGCAGAGTCGAAGAGTTTGAGCAGTTTTCCAGCACGCCCCTCAATCCCAATCTGTAGCGCTCCCTGCTCTTCCAGACTTGGGGCCCACCCAGGGCTCTGTCAACCCCAGCCAGTAGCCTCTCCTGATATTCCTGTTCTGCCCCACCACATCCCCAAGCGCACACGGATCTGCTGATGTCCCGCAATTCCCACTCCCATCCCCAGGCTCCTCGCACAACAAAGCTCTGCTAAGCTGTATTTGCATTCCCTGTTCTTCCAGACCCAGAGCCTGCAATCAAACTCTGCCAATGCCCCTCATGGCGGCCCTGCAGCCCCTCCACCCCCTGGTTATTCCAGCCCCGGCCTCCCCGCCCAATGCCCCAGGCTTTCCCAGCATTGGCTCTTACCAGACTTTGTCCTTTGTCTCTGGACACCAGCACACAGCTTCTCGCTCTGCCATGGCCTGTGCCCACAGGCAGGGGACTGAGCTCACCAGCCAGTGCCAGGGCTGGCAGAGGTGGAACCCAAATCGCATCTGGACCATGAGCACTTCACAGGCATGTATTACACCTCGCAGCACACGCCCCCCTCCCCCGCTTACACGCTCTATCATCGCACCATTTTGCAGATGGGTAAATGAGACACAGGGAGCAGCAGAACAGAGGTGCCTAACCTCTAGGCAACGCTGCCCTCCCACCCCCTATGGCAGGGCCCTTCCAGGTAGTATTTGAAACTGGGGAGTGGGGGGGAAGGTTAGAAGTGGTCAAGGGCTCTCATGTATTCATGCATAAAATTACCTCAAAACAGCCTGAAGGGGAGGTACCCAAATGCTGAGCACTGTCCCCCCGGGAATGTTACATGTTCCCCAGCAGCCCTCCACCAGGCAGAGGCAATCAGTGCAGGAATGGCAGGGGCAGGGAGGGTGGAGTGTTTCATGTCCACCCTCCCCCACGTGCACCAAATGCCTTTTGCTCTACTAAAGCACAGGGATCTCCACCCCCAGGTGCCATCATTAGTAAGACAGGAGCCAATTGGGGAGGCAGTATTGCCTAATGGATAGTGGACTGGCCTGGGACTCAGAAGACATGGGTTCTAGTCCCAGCTCTTCCGTTGGCCTGCAGGTGACCCTGGGCGAGCCATTTCCCTTCTCCGTGCCTCAGTTTCCCCATCTGTAAAACAAGGATCATGACACCAACCCTCTTTGTAAAGGGCTTTGCAAACTACTGATAAGAGCAAGGTATCGCCTCCACAGTGGAGCTTTAGGCGAGGCATTGGAGCCCTGGATTCTGTTACTGACTTGCTCTGGGATCCAATGCTTGCCGTAGAATGGCAAGATTCAAAATAAATTGGAGCAATGAGAGTCTAGTGGAGAGAGCACTGGACTGGGAGTCAGGACTCTATTCCCAGCACTGTTGCCGATTCTCTGAGACATGCAGGCTGACTAATTTCATCTTGGGTCTCAGTTTTCCCATCTGTAAAATGGGGAGAACCCTTCCCATGAGGCTATCTAAGTACTATGTTAATGAGCCATTTCCTCTACTGTTGGATTCTTTCTAGTAGTCCCATCCACAGCATAAGGACCCCAGATGCCGCAGCCACACTAGAGCATCCAGCCATCTGCATGGATGCAAACTCCCGGCACAGATACAGCTGTGATTTGCACCCCAGAGCAAAGGAACCTTCCTTAAAACTATGGCTGGCTCCACTGGTACAAATCAGAGAGTTTGTAGCGGTTCCTGCTAGGACCTAGCCCTGCTGCTGCTACAGCAATTCAGTTGGAGCTGCCCTCCCAGTGCATGTCCTTCACAACATTCAGGGCTCTCTCAAGACGGTCTCAGGCAAACATATCCTACAAGGGATCTTGGGGAAAAAGCCAGGACCCCCTGTACAGGCCCAGCCCCTTCACTGGGAGCGGTTGGGCGGAGGGAGAAAAGGGGTACAATTCCCCCCCCCCGAGTTTTCAGAGCTGCAATCCCATGCACGACAGAGGTAGTGGTTTGACCACCTCATTACCTTTGCATGTTTAAGTTGCCTGGAAGGGAGCTTGGCCCCTGACATTGATTAAATGGGCCTGAGGCTTCCCCCCTGCCCCCCCGCACTCCTCCACCCAGCAATAAGACATCAGGGTGTCCAGTTAGAGAACATTGCAGGCTTCATGGGGTTAACTGTGCTGGGAAATGGACTGAGAATGCGGCATTTTGCCTTTCCCCTCTAAGTCACTCATCCGTCTTAACTCTCCGTTGGGGCGGGTGGGTGTGGGATGCTCTATGGGAAGAGAGACCCTTACTCAGGGCTTAATTTGTAATGAAAGAGATGCCAAGGCTCAAGCAATTATTTTCCATTCATAACAGATGCAGGAAGCCCAGAGGTGCCAGGGCTTAGCCCTGGCACAAATTAAGCCCTGCCCTTCCTGCCACTGGATGCCCTCTACAGGGGCTGTTGGCAGAGGGCTGGGGCATGGAGACCCAGCACCCCTCTCAGGTCAGTGGGGGGGGCACTTGAGCAGAGAGGTCAGGCTGCCTGGCAGCCAGGCAGGGCGGAAGAAGGTTGCCCAGTAGTTGCCCAGGCTGGCCCAGCTCCGACGCCAAGTCTCTGCTGAAAGTGTAAAGACAAGGGCCTTAAAAAGGTAGCTTCCAGGCCTTTCAGCCAGAAAGGAGCAGGCATGAGCAGGTGCTGGATGCTGAGCTGCTAGGGGCACGTGTTTCTCTCCCTGTCTGGGGAGGGGGGGGTTGAAGAGTTGGAGAAACTCAGCTCCAAACGCCAACTGGGGCTCAGAATCTAGTTTGTTGCTCTGCACACACCCCCAGCTGGCAATTTCAGCAGTTGGGCACTAGGTGGCGCTACGGGCTAAACCACCAAAGCCAAAAAAAGCCCTGACACAAACTTTATTGGAGCCTAAAGTTAAGCCCTTAGCCACCAGGGCAGTAGCCAGATTTCTGCAGGTACTGAGCAACCTCCAAGCACCCCACTCATAGGACCCCTAGCCCTGGGGCGGGGAGCCATACCCATAGAAACGGGTTCCTATTGGTAGCCTACCTGCCCTACGGTCAGGGTTCCTAGGCGCAGGGCTCCCCGAGCTAGGGGCAGGTCCTACAGCAGTCCAAGGGCTCAGCCGTCCCACCCTCGCCCCAGCCCCGAGACTGGAACAGAGCCAGGTTCCTTAGAGCTGCTGCACCCCCACCACCAATTCATAGTCCAACTATCACAGCCCTCTACACGCAGCTTACTGCGGAGACACGTGGGGCAGTTTGTCACAGAATCCACACCATGTGGTTAGAAGCCGCCATGGCCCATCTGACTGCCTGGGCTCTACACCCAGCTCCGCCACTGGCCAGCTGGGTGGCCTTCTGCAAGTCACGGCACCTCTGTGCCTCAGTTTCCCCATCTTTAAAACCAGGGTAATGCTACTAACCGCCTTTATAAAGCACTTGGCGATCAACCGATGAAAACCACTGCGGTTCAAAAAAGGAATCTAGATGGATAAACAAGAACATCCAGAGGTATCACAGAAGACTTCTGGAAGGGATCTTTTCCTTTCAGCCTTCTGGGCGAGGCAAGCTCTAACTATTGGGATCAGGAAAAAGCTTCCCTGGGGGGAGGTTATCCCATAACTGCTACCAGAAGTGCTATGGCACCATCCTCTGGAGCAACTGGTATCAGTCACTGCTGGAGAGAGAACTAACCATTCCTATGTCCCTAAGTCTAGCAACTCAGGATACCAGGTCCCACCACGAGCAAGGCATGAACAGAGTCAGGGAGGAAGGACGGATGGCTTTAAGACATCTGATGAAGTGAGCTGTAGCTCACGAAAACTTATGCTCAAATAAATTTGTTAGTCTCTAAGGTGCCACAAGTCCTCCTTTTCTTTTTGCGGATACAGATTAACATGGCTGCTACTCTGAAACCTGTCTTTAAGGCCAATGTTTCCCTGCAATCTTTGGTGATGCAGGGCGTTGGTTATTCTCCACCCCACAATCCTCCAGGCAGAAGGTGGTTGAAAACCCTGCTGCCAGCCCAGGCAAGGAGCTGGAAGAAGGAGACGATTCCTTCTCCACCTCAGCTCTGGCCATTGCTTCAACCCAGGGGGAGCCAGAATCACCATGCTACAGTGGAGTCCTAGCCCAGGGAAACAGTGGGGTGCCCTCCCTGCCCAGACTGTCAGAAGTGGGAAAAGCTCACTCTCCATGAGCCAGATCTCTCCTGTCAATGAAGGAGCTCATACGGTGCCTTGTATGAAGTGCATGGCTACCAACAAGCACAGATCACCCTGGAATCGTGAACGACCAAATCTAGGAAGAGAAGGGACATAGTCACCCCCAACTCTGCCCATTTCTATTTCCCTCTCCCACCACCATCTATTCATTGCCAGGCCTTCTCTCTGGCTGGGTTGAAACAGGTGGACCTTTGAGCTCAACTCCACTTCTTAGCAGCATCCTTCGAAAGTCACCAGTAGCCCTACCTTCTCTCTCCACCCTCACCTGAAGACCACACTGAATCCGCAGCATTCTCTCTCTCTGCCAGCCTGGGGGACTGGAAACAGAGAAGTTTCACATCAAGAACGGTAGGAGAAAAAAATCCAAACCCTATTGCAACTGGTTTGGTTCCTTTACAGAGAACAGAGGCTCAAAAAAGCATTTTTATTCATTTCTTTTTGCTCACAAACCTTCAAGTGCCGTACGTTTACAAAAGAAACACATTCACACCCACAACACTGTCACACTGGACTTCAGGAGAACCACCCCAGGAATGATTTAAATACACTCACTTAAAAAAAAGTGTAAAAAGGTGGCTCCCATTATAAATACAGTGCAATAATTCTGTACAATTTTACAAGGTTCAGACAAAAGCCAGCGGCACACCCCGAGCCAGGATCTTTGAAGGATTTCATATGCCATTCACAAAAGAGATTTGGAGATTCAAGAGGGCCTCCCAGGCACTTCTCTTAGGGCTTGTCTATGTGGGGAAACTGACCAGAGTAGCTATCCCACAACAGCTTGAGTGCATTAAATTCAGATCCTAGCTTACTCCAGAATAGCTTCCCCATGTAGACATGCCCTGTTAAGACTCACAACAAGACTGAGCAGCAAAGTACAGATCTGAGATTTTTGGCCTAGACTCATCTCCAGTTAAAAGCCTCACCTGGAAAGCCAGGTCAAGCCAGCAACTGGCATGAGAATTGTTCTACAACAGACAGGATTCCAAACCCGAATGATTAAGTTAATGTTTAACTCTATAGAAAGCAGGTATTAACAAGGAGCCATATACCAGTCTCAGCCCACAGACACTTCAGGTTTATGTACAAAGCAAGTTCAGGATCAGACTTTAAGACAAAACAAAAAACCCCTGACTATTTCCAAAAAAAGCTTATTCTCAATGGGTACAGACACACACCCCTCAGGTCGATTTCAGTGGGCAGCTCTGCCCTGAAAATGAATTATTTTCCAGTGATGCCTTTTAGCCAGCCAATTTGCTCCTTGGGCACATGTCTACTCTAAGCGTGCTTTACAGCAAACTAGCATTACCATATGAGCAAAGGGCTCCTGAAGTGGATACAGCTACACTGGTAAAGCTCGTATTGTGAAACCACCCCAACCAACACCTCGCCCTGAGTGAAACATACTATACTGGTGAAAGCGACTACATTGCTGTTATCACTGCTTCAACGCTTGAAGTTTCTCATGGCAAAGCTAAGCCAGCAGAAGTACTTAGCATAGACCTGACCGGAGTCTTGTTTCTTCCATTTTGGCTTTGTCTAGATGAGGATTTAGCAATCTAGTTTTTAGATGGTGTTAACTAGCTCAATCTACCCTTAACTCTGCCCACTTAGCACACGCTAATATACAGCTGGCCTTGTCTAGAGTATTGACAGCTGGTCGCTGGCTTGATCCAATTTACATCTCCTCTGTCAATTCAATCCACACACCTTGTGACCCAGGTCGGATCTGACCACCAGTGCTGCTGGGGGGGGGGGGGGGTGAAGCTGGATTCTAGTCTCCCTTGTGCATCAGAGCAGTTAACGAAGGACCTGTGCACACTAGATTTGCCCCCCAATTCATCTGCACTGCCTGCAAATTCCTCTTGTAGACAGGCCAACTGCTACCAGCTTCCATTGGCACTAGTACACCCCACCCCAGCCTATAGCAAGGGCAAGTGCCTGGTGCTGCTACACCAATTGCTAGCCACAGGTGGCTGGAATTGGGGCAAACCCCCCACTGCAGACAAGGCAGCTCAGACTTCAGTGACACCCGTACAAACCCTGGGATAACGGGATGGTGTGGGCCTCGCCTGGCCAGCAGAACCTCTCTTACTGGGGAGGATGTGCAAGGAGAGAACCCAGTTGGACTCTCCAATGCAAGGGGAAGTTGCAGTTCAAAGAGCCATATCTTTACTCATCCATGGAGCACATTCGAGACACAGCCATGCCACTTCCAGTGCTGGTTTGACTGTCACTTTCACAGCAGGGTTGGACTTGAATTATTCAGGGGGGAGGGGAGATCCTCATAGCACATGGTTGCATTAGGAAAACTAACTGTTTTCCCCATCTCCAGTTCTCGAGGACACACTAATGCTGTTCAGAGTCCCATCTCTGCAGATTCTCCCTGAAAAACCAAGAGCTACAGAGCCCCTGCCAGAGCAACAATGGCCTTTCGTTTAGGTACATGACAGCCACCTCCAGATGGAGACCTAGTTCCCTGGGACAGTTGCGTATTGAGATGCCAGAAAACATCCTTTGGTTCGATCAGATGCCTGTCCAGAAGGGGCTCGAATGAGCCAGCCCTCCCTTTCTCCATCTCAAGCACAGCCACCCACAGCTCTTCACACCCCATTTTGGGGAGTTCCCATTCTCACACGCTCCCCTAGACAGGGACACTAGATGGGGGAGCTCCAAGGCGGGTCGGTAAGAATGGAGATCAGCTGAATCCAGCATCTGACCACGAGAATGACTCTGCACTGACATCCCCCTTCCACCCCAATGCCCAAACACACACACAAAGGGGGGCAAATTAACAAAATCAAAACCCTTCCCCCAAGCAGAGATTTCACCCCCAAACAGAGAGACGTGTCAGAGACTCCATGAGGACTTAGCTATTGATTTTACGTGGAAGGTGCCACCCATCACCATAGTATCCGGGCAGCATTAAACCCCTTTGCTAGATTAAAAGCCAACCAAGTGTTTAATGTTAGCTTCAGTGGACATTTTGGCTACAATACCACAAGCCCCAGTCCTGCAGGGAGAGCCACTGGGCAGATATGAATGGGATGCGACCCACCGAGGTTTTTAAGGTCAGGCTTGACAAAGCCCTGGCTGGGATGATTTAACTGGGAATTGGTCCTGCTTCGAGCAGGGGGTTGGACTAGATGACCTTCTGGGGTCCCTTCCAACCCTTATATTCTATGATTCTATGATTCACCCAGCATCCATTGCAGGCTCCGTCTGGCATTCTCCCCAGGCAGGGAGAAGCTGCATTCAAGAAGGGGTTAAGAAAATGTGCTTGTTTCCATTTTTAAGAGAATTTAATGGGATGTCACATGACAAAATTCCGCACCCGTGAACCAATAGCTATTGTGCAAATATTGAAAACCTGGAAATCCAAACCAGCCTTTCTGGAGGGATGAATTTTGGACAGAGTGAAATAAAAAGCTACCTTCCCCTTCCCCTCTGGAATTTTGCAAAAAACTATTGACAATGGAATCTGCGGCTAACAAGGTTGCAACACGGTGGAGCCACTCATTATTACAGGCCAAATTTTCAGAAGAATTTAGGTCCCTAAAAATGCAGAGAAGCACCTAGTGAGATTCTCAAAATCTGGCAATGAGTGAAAATAAAGTAAGGTTAGATCAAAATTTCTGAACTCCGGTAGCTCAGGTTTGCAACCCAAATCCACATTGTTAGGCACCTCTGAGTGGCTTGATTTTAAAGAGGGAGCGGCGCACGCTCAACACCTCAAATAAAAAAAAAAAAATCAAGCCACAATGAGCTGCATAAATATTCGTGTAGGCGCACAGCGCTCGGCCCCCATGTTTGACCATTTTCACACTAAATGCCCCACTAGCAGATTTAAGTTTAAATTGCAGCTGATCGGGTGTGTGTTTCATGGTGTGCAGATGACTGGTCTCCGATTGGCCGAAGCATGACATGCACCAAGCCAATCAGAAAGCAGCAAGTCAATAAGCAACCAGCACCAGGACCTTGGTGAACCAGAGTGGTCTGCAAGCCCCTGGCACATCCTGGAAGCCGAACACCATTCTGTTTCAGGGGGCTTGGATAATGGTCCAGATCTCGCCACTGAGACCCTGTCCCTGAGGATCCTAAAGCACAACATGGACACGGGTATTAGTCCTGCCTCACAGGACGCACAGTGGAGGTTAACGGCCTGGTTTTTACAAGGCACAGCGCATGTGCACGGGTCATTCAGACCTCTCTTACGCTACCTTGGCAATCCCAAATTTAATCCACCCTGTTCCCAGAATCTACCATGGAAGGAGAAGAGGTGGGAGCAGTTGGTCTCCTAGGGGACCCAGCCCAGCTTGTGGCACTTGGGGCTCCTCCCACTCTATGAAACGGATCCCATGCTAAGCCAACAATGAATTTAGAGAAGGGCTGATCCAATCAGGAAGGATCTGGGGTAACCCTGGACTCAGGGACTCACATGGGAACAACAGCCCATTTACTGGATACATGTGACCCTCACAGCAGCCTGCAACGGAACAAAGTCGCTTGGCACCAGTCTAGATGGAGCAGATCCAAGTGACCCACTGAGGGCGAAGGCAGCCAGGCATTTCAGTGAGAGGACGGAGGGGAGAGGGGATGGGGCCTAGGGTCAGTCGAAGGGGAAGGAGGAGATGCAGTTGGAATCCCTCCCATCGCAGGTGAGTGGGCAGGTGAATCCCTGTCTCACCACGCCCTCCACCCCGGACTCGCTTTGTTTCAAGTTTCATTACAAGATATCAGAGCAGGTCCCTGGTAAGTCCCCCTAGAGGCCATGGCCCTACGGAGGCATTCTCAGCTGACCGTTCACATCAAAAGCCACCTGACGGCTGCAATTACAAACCAGGTTTCACTCTGCATTTCTGGGTTGGCTCGGACCCCGTACGCTCCAAGCAAAACATTCAGGGAGGGGGAAGCAAGACCCATCTGGGTCAGATCCAAAGGGGCCGCCTGGGCCCGGCAGAGCGAAACAGACAAGTGTCCCGCAGCTGCGCTGCCGTCACAGATCCCTTTGGGGCCCCCAAGCAGCTGCAGGAGCTGAAGGATTTCTTCATTCACACAAGCGCACGCATCCCCCACCCTGCCCAGATTTCAGGGAACGGGATCTCTTGCCCCGCCACGCAAATCCCCTGGCAGACCACGGAGCGTTCTACTCCCCCTCCGCCCCCCAGACACAGCCACCCTGTGTGTTCTGCAGATGGGTCGCTTCGGGGGCAGGATGAGAAGATTTGCTCTCCATGACAGAGTCCCAGTCTCCCAGGGGCTCCTTGCCCAGCCCCAGCATCCCTGGACAGGCCAGGAACGTGTTACCGGCATGTGTGTGAGGCAGGGAAAAAGATAAACGGGCAAAGGCGCTCCATTCCTGCAGTAGGTTCTTAGGGCACGTGGTGGGAGACTCTTCCCCAGGTTGCCCTCTGGGGTCTTGCATTGCACTGACTGCTACGCCCAGTCTGTGCTGGCCCCAGCAGCAAGGAAGAGTGGAGGAGGAGCTGTGGAGATCACGCATGGGTGGGGAGGAGCGGGAGGAAGCCCTGCCCCACAGGAGGTCTCCATGCCCCTACTCTGGTGGCCGGGAGGGCAGGGGCTCGGAGTCCATGCTTCAAGTCAGAGCCCCGGACTCCAGCAAGGCCATTAGCACCATAGCAAGGAGGGAGAGGGGCCCCCTCGCCGGCTCAGTTCTTCAGTAGGTCACCAAGGTCATAGGCCTCAAAGAGGTCGCTCACTCCCTCGCCCCCCTCCAGCCCCCACAGGTAGTCGTCCTGGTCGAGGGGCGGGGAGAAGCTGACGAAGGGGGCGGGGTCACCATAGGGCAGCTGGTCCTCTGTCTGCTGCAGCAGGTGATGGGGCATGTCCAGGAGTCCATCCTCCACCTCCATCAGGGGCTCAGCTGGGGAAATCGGAAAGACGGAAGGGAGAGCTTTGGGCGTGCAGCCTGCCCCGGGACAGCAGAGCCCCCGGCACCTCCTTGGGCCAGGTGCCCCACAAGCCCTCCCCCCCCCTCCTCCATTCACCAGCGGCATGGGAGGAGCCTGGTGAGAGCAGACAGTGGGTAGGATTCTACCACCCGGCCCTATCGATGCCCCTGAAACCCAGCCTGCAGCTCGTTATCATCTCCCACTGTTCCAGCCCGGGGATCCTCACCCCACCCGCAGCTCTGCCAATGCCCCTCCAACACAACCCGCAGCCCCCCTGCTGTTCTAGCCCTGAGCCCCCAGCCAGACCCCGCCCTGCTTTGCTAATGCCCCTCGCTCCCAGTCCGTGCAACTGGGAGAGGGCGGGCCGGGGTTCCAGGAAGCCATAAGGGAAGCAGGGCCTTACCAAAGGCCACTTGGCAATTAGCAGACCCGGAGGCTTTGAGGGCTGGATCTTGGCACAGAGACAGAGGCAGGTATGGCAGCCACCTGGCAAGAGCTCAATGGCTGCCACGAAAGAGAAAGTTAAACACGACAGCATCAGACTGGGGGGAGGAGAGGCCAGGCCTGGCCAGAGATCCCTGCAGCCCCAGCTGGGCGTTACCTTTCCCTGGGGAGGGGTCGGTGCCATCGATGCGGTCCTGAAGGGAGGGGGTGGGGAAGCTGCTCTCTTTGGCAGGGCTGTCCTCCAGGATCTCCTCGGGGCACAGGTACACCTCGATGGGGCCGTTGGTGCTCTTCAGGTGGAGCTGCACATTCTCCTGCCCGGAGAGGGGAGGAGTCAGCGGGGACTAGTCCAGCAGGATCCATCACACAGGGGATCCCCTCTCCCATCCCTCCCTGCACAGAGCAGCAACTTGGCCAGCAGAGGGGGCTTACCAGCCCCCCTGCAGCAGAGATGACTCCGTGGGGAAGCCTCATGCAGCAGGGCCTTGCCCTCAAGATGGGTGGAGAAGCAAAGACAAGTGCACGGGAAACAGAGCTCCCAGCCGGGGGCCCAGCCCCATCCAGTGAGCCCTAAAGTCACCTCAAGACGGGATGAAGAGATAAAGTTTCTTGATGCCTTAAATGACTGCTTCTTGGAGCAGCTAGTCCTGGAACCCACAAGAGTAGAGGCCATTCTTGATTTAGTCCTAAATGGAGCCCAGGATCAGGTCCAAGAGGTGTATATAGCTGGACCGCTTGGAATAGTGTCCATAAAATAATTAAACTTAACATCCCTGTGGCAGGGAAAACACCACAGTAGCCCAACACTGTAGCATTTAATTTCAGAAAGGGAGACTACACAAAAATGAAAAGGTTAGTTAAACAGAAATTAAAAGGTACAGCACAAAAAGTAAAATCCCTGCAAGCTGCATGGAAACTTTTTAAAGACACCATAATAGAGGCTCAAGTTAAATGTACACCCCAAATTAAAAAACATAGTAAGAGAACCAAAAAAGAGCCACCGTGGCTGAACAACAAAGTAAAAGAAGCAGTGAGAGGCAAAAAGGCATCCTTTAAAAAGTGGAAGTTGAATCCTAGTGAGGAAAATAGAAAGGAGCATAAACTCTGGCAAAATGAAGGGTAAAAATATAATTAGGAAGGCCAAAAAAGCATTTGAAGAACAGCTAGCCAAAGACTCAAAAAGTAAGAGCAAAAAAAGTTTAAGTGCAGCAGAAGCAGGAAGCCTGCTAAACAACCAGTGGGGCCACTGGACGATCGAGATGCTAAAGGAGCACTCAAGGACGATAAGGCCATTGCAGAGAAACTAAATGAATTCCTGGCATTGGTCTTCACGGTTGAGGATGTGAGGGAGATTCCCAAACCTGAGCTATTCTTTTTAGGTGACAAATCTGAGGAACTGTCCCAAATTGAGGTGTCGTTAGAGGAGGTTTGGGAACAAATTGATAAACTCAACAGTAATAAGTCACCAGGAACAGATGGAATTCACCCAAGAGTTCTGAAGGAACTCAAATGTGAAACTGCAGAGCTCTGTAGTCTGTAACCTATCATTTAAATCAGCTTCTGTACCAAATGACTGGAGGATAGCTAACGTGATGCCAATTTTTAAAAAGGGCTTCAGAGGAGACCCCGGCAATTACAGGCCAGTAAGCCTGACTTCAGTACCAGGCAAACTGGTTGAAACTATAGTAAAGAACAAAATTGTCAAACATATAGATGAACAAAATTTGTTGGGGAAGAGTCAACATGGTTTTTGTAAAGGGAAATCATGCCTCGCCAATCTACTAGAATTCTTTGAGGGAAGTCAACAAACATGTGGACAAGGGGGATCCAGTGGATACAGTGTACTCAGATTTTCAGAAAGCCTTTGACGAGGTCCCTCACCAAAGGCTCTTAAGCAAAGAAAGCTGTCATGGGATAAGAGGGAAAGTCCTCTCATGGATTGGTAATTGGTTAAAAGATAGGAAACGAAGGGTAGGAATAAAATGGCCAGTTTTCAGAAAGGAGAGAGGTAAATAGTGGTGTCCCCCAGGGGTCTATACTGGGCCCAGTCCTATTCAGTATATTCATAAATGATCTGGAAAAAGGGGTAAACAGTGAGGTGGCAAAATTTGCACGATACAAAACTACTCAAGATAGTTAAGTCCCAGGCAGACTGCGAAGAGCTACAAAAGGATCTCACAAAATTGGGTGACTGGGCAACAAAATGGCAAATGAAATTCAGTGTTGATAATGCAAAGTAATGCACTTTGGAAAACAGAATCCCAACTATACATGTAAAATGATGGGGTCTAAATTAACTGTCACCACTCAAGAAGGAGATCTTGGAGTCACTTTGGATAGTTCTTTGTAAATATCCACTCAATGGACAGCAACAGTCAAAAAAGCGAACAGAATATTAGGAATCATTAAGAAAGGGAGAGATAATAGGACAGAAAATATCATATTGCCTCTATACAAATCCATGGTATGCCCACATCTGGAATACTGCATGCAGATGTGGTCACCCCATCTCAAAAAAGATATATTGGAATTGGAAAACATTCAGAAAAGGGCAACAAGAACTATTAGGGGTATGGAACAGCTGCCATATGAGGAGAGATTAATAAGACTGGGACTTTTCAGCTTGGAAAAGAGACAACTAAGGTGGGGATATGATAGAGGTCTATAAAACCATGACTGGTGTGGAGAAAGTAAATAAGGAAGTGTTAATTATTCCTTCTCATTACACAAGAACTAGGGGTCACCAAATGAAATTAATAGGCAGCAGGTTTAAAAGAAACAAAAGGAAGTATTTCTTCACACAACACAAAGTCAATCTGTGGAACTCCTTGCCAGAGGATGTTATGAAGGCCAAGACTATAACAGCGTTCAAAAAAGAACTAGAGAAATTCATGGAGGATAGGTCCATCAATGGCTATTGATGGGCAGGGATGGTGTCCCCAACCTCTGTTTGCCAGAAGCTGGGAATGGGCAACAAAGAATGGATCATTTGATGATTACCTGTTCATTCCCTCTGGGGCACCTGGCACTGGCCACTGTTGGAAGACAGGACACTGGGCTAGATGAACCGTTGGTCTGACCCAGTGTGGCCGTTCTGATGTTCTCCCTGCCAAGCAGCCACTTCTAGCCCGTCTGGGCACCTATGCTAAGGGGCAGCTGAGCCAAGGTTGGCTCCTCAGGTGGTGTCCCTAGCCCCACGGGACATGCTTAGAATTCAGTGGTCCTGGAGCTAAGGCACCAGGGTGAGACTCGGAGACCTGGGGTCAACACCCAGCCACTGATTTCCTGTGTGATCTTGGGGAAGTCACTGCATCTCTCTAGGCCTCAGTTTGCCCATCTGTAAAATGGGGATAGTTGCCCTTCCTGTCTATCTAGGCTCACACAACGGGATCTGGAGCTCAACTGGGGTCTCCGCTGTGGGCCAGGAGGATGTGTTTTCCCTGCACGCAGAGCCCTCCTCTGGCGCACTCACCTCATTGAAGTCCGGCACCTCCAGCTTGGTTTCTGGGGGGGCCTTGACCGCTATCACCGTCTGCTCCTGGAAGTTGCTGATGGAGCGGATGTCCTGGTAGGTGACATATGCTAATGTGGGGGGGTGGAATTAAGGAAATACCAGCCACAGACTGAATCTTCTCAGCCCACAAATGACAACAGAGTTGGTTCTCTGCAGATCTCATGTGCCGAACCCTCCCCAGCTCCTATCTTCCCCCAAAACCAGCTGGGTTCCCACCCCAGCCCACGAAGGTATCCTCCCTGCCAGGCACAGATTAAAAACCTCTTCTTCTGTCCTGAGAGGGACACAGGACTACCTGCCTCTCCCCACCACAAGGCCTTGGCCACCACACTTACCACTTCCACTCCCCCCAGGGCAGGCAGCAAGGCATTGTGGTATACGGAGCTGAACGCCCCTGCCAGAGTCCACAGGCTGGTGCCAGGCCATCATCCCATGGCTCCAAGAATGCCGCTGGCTCCCTGTTTGTTACTGAACCGACCCCAGAGCCCTGGGCCTGTGAGGCTTGGCATGCGGCCATCTCCACGTCTCCTCCATCCCCCGTCCCTCCCCCCATGGGCAGCACAGCTGGGAAAGGCCCTGGATAAGACAGCTGCTGGAGCTAAAGCTTTCTTGGCTGCAGAACCCAAGCCATGGGGCTCGCTGGCAGAGGAGAGGAGACAGAATCCAAGCCAAACTGTGCTCAGACAGGAAGGCAAGGCCCACCGGGAGCAGGCGCTTTCCCCAGACGGCTCAAACAGAGCCCACATGTTGACCAGTCAAAACTCAGCGGTGGTTTTATCAACAATGAGGCAGGAGTTCAGCCCAAGTCTCTTCCCCAGGTTGGGCTGCTCCCAGGCTCCTCCCTCCGGGCTACTCAGCCCTCACCCTAGATACTCCCTCAGACCCAATATCCCTCTGAAGGTCATTTTCAGACTGCGTTTGCTCGCGATTCAGAGACTCCCCCCCCCCCCCACACACACCCCAACCCCCTTTCTCCATAACCCTTTGCCTCCCCATGAAGGATATCTCTGGTTAGTCTCGTCCTCTGTCAGGTGCTTCAGCTGGAGGGTGCAGTCCTGGATGCGCTCGTCCAAAGTTCTCTCGGTCTTGGCCAGCTCCGCCAGCTCTTGGCGCAGGGACTGATGCTTCACCGTCACAGAGGTGTCCTCGAAAATTCCTGTGCCCCTGGGAAGACAAGCAGAGCCGGTCACTGAGGATCAGTGGAAAGCAGCGCACTGCGGGGGAGGGAGGGGAGCGTCATCCACCTCAGCAGGGACAGCGCAAGGTCTCCTGTGAGGGAGCATGTCGCTTTCACAAGACGCGCAGCTCCGAGCGCTCTGCGAAGCAGCATCGTAAATACTTGCAGATAAACGGCTCTGTGAAAGGAAACAAGCAGAGCCTGAGATCGGCCGGAAAGCAGAGCCCCCAGAGCCAGGATTTTAAAACCGTTCAAAGACAGAGCCATGTTCAGGGGTTTGGGCCGCTCTCTGCAAACTGGATTCGGTGACAGCTGCCTCCAAGTGTGTTCATTCCATAGTAAATGAATCTGGCACATGTACCCCCCTCTCTGCCAGCGAGGCTGGGAACACAGGACTCTCCATTGGATCAGATCCCGTACTCCTGCCCGCTCACCACACGTCTCTGACAACAGCTAGCAGCTGACACAGCAGAGCATGGTGCAAGACTCAGACGGTGGACAATTACAGAGTGGCCTGCCATAGAAGAAGTGTCTCCTAACCCCAGGCAGTCAGTGCTTTGCTTATGCCGTGAAGCATCAGGGTTTGTAACAGCCGGGGGGCATTGGATCCTGCTTTTGAATCCTGCTGAGCTGTTGACCTCAGTGTGATCTTGTGGATCATGTAAAAGTATTCACTGTATTCTCCCTTGTGGTAGTGTGTATGGGGAGAGAACAAGACCATTGTGCTTAATGTGGGATAAGAGTCCAAACTCTGCTCTGTCCTACTGCCTGATCCAGGCTGGGGTGGGAGCAGGGCTGACAAGCTATTTCAGGACTGTTCAGCCAGACAGCTTAAATGCCACATCACTGGAAGAGCTACGTTCTGGCCTCGCCTACGGTGCTGGGTTTAAATTCTGTTCTCATTGGGGCCCTTCCCATCCAGAATCACGGGCCAAACCATGTTAGAAACCAGCCTAGTTGGCATCATGTTTGACCCTGCATCCTCACTTGTGCTGGCTTGGGGACAAAGACCCAGATCCGTGCAACCCCCCAGAATAGACACAGGGAAGGTCACTCCCCCCCCCCCCCCCCAGACAAGACTCTGCACTTGAACAAACAAGGCCCTTTGGAGCGGACGGTCCCAGCATAACTGATACCAGCCCTGGAGCCCAGCTGGGAGCCCGGATCTCTGCCCGCACTGTCTCCTCCGCACAGAGCCCCTTACATCCACTGGATGTTGTTCTTGGATTTCTTCCGGATGAGCTGAATCCCTTCCAGCACGTTGGTGATGTCGTAGATCCGGCGCTTCTGCACCTCCAGCACCTCGGCCGCCCGGTTCAGGTCCAGCACCCCGTCCTCCGACTCGCTCAGCAGGTGGATGAACTTCTTGGTCAGCAGCCCCAGGGAGGTGTCATACCGTGTCTTCTCCCCGGGCGACTTGGGGGCTGTCGTGGGCGGGGAGAGAGGAGACGGGTCAGGTTGGCTGAGCCGGGGAGAGGAGCTGAGAAAAGTCACGATGCCGCCCAGAGAATGGGCCAGGCTGATTCAACAGCTGCGGGCTAGAAGCACGCAGGGCCCCACCCATCGGGGCTGCCGTGAGCGCAGCCTGCAATGGGTTTCAACAGCCTAGCGCAGAGGGAGGCTGGGTCCCTCCCCTTTAGCTCAAGCAGCAGAGACTCGTGCTTCCAGTGTTGAGGGACCTGGGTTGAAACCCCACAGCGGGCCCAAGCAGGGTCAGTTACAGGTGCTCCTATATTTATGGCAGCACTAAGCCGGGTGGAAGCAGATGCTCATGGATGCCTGTTCGCTCCAGGCCTGTCCTCCCCCACAGAAGGACGTCACAGACTGCTCCTAACTACAATAGGTGGTGGAACTGCTGCCTGAAGGCCACATGGCAGCCCCACCCCGACAGGGCTGGCTTCTCCCATCCCTGTATGGAATATCCCAGCGTCACTTTCATGGTGACAAATGTCTCCAGGACCCAGCTGCTCCGGACAGAAGAGCCGTGGGGCAAGGCAGGTCCTTTGCACGGGAGCCCCCCCACCCAGGCATACATCTCCCCTCCCTCACATCCCAGCTCAGCACCACTTACTCTTGGGGCTGGGGATTCGAGTGACTGTCCTGCTCTTCCCCTTGGGTGTCCGGAATTCTGGGATGCCCGGCTGGCCGGTCCCTTCCAGATCCAGCTTCCTTTTGGCCTGATGGGCAGGAGAGAGAATTGTGCAGTTACTTCAAGAGACTGACCACCAACAACAGCACCCACGATCCCAGTTTGCCCGCTGGAGACCCACGCGGCACCCACAACCATCTCATCAACCGCCCTTTGATCAAACTAGACCCTTCTGGCCTCGGCATCTAGGACTGTAAGCTCTCTGGGGCAGGGAGCCTTTGTACAGCTCCTAGCCCAACGAGGCCCTGATCTTGGCTGGCGCTACTGTAAGGCAAATAAACGAAATCATAACCAGAGCTTGGGCCCAGTCTACAGCAGGGGGTTGCATCAGCACAGCAGCACCGGGCGGGGGGGGGGGGCCTCAAATCCCCAGGAAGCAGTTACCCCACCCGCTCAGATCCCTGCAGTTCCCTTCCCCCTCCCACCAGGAACTCCATCATGGCCCAGCTGCTCTGCAGAGGGCAAGATGAGCAACAGGGGCCTGATCCTGCCAGGTCCTTGGCACCGGTGGCAGGGAAACGGGGAGCTGGAGCTGCCTTTGAGGCCAAATCGGTAGGGACATTAAGCCGGCTGCCAGTGCAGAAGCCTGGAGGGGCACATGTACCTTGGAAGGAGATGGCCCAGCCTTGCTTCACCCCCAACCCCAGAGAGCGGGCTGATTAGAACAGACCCTTTCAACACAACAGGATCCAGCCCCAGGAACAGGAGTCCAGATTGTATATTAATGCTCTGCTGGCAACGCCAGCCCAGCCCCTGCCCTGGACCCCCTGCTTAACTCAACACACCCAGTTAGCAGCCTCCAGGCCTGCGGTGATGGCACCAGTAGGGGGAGCTGTGCCGAGCCAGCCACAAGCCCCCACCCCATGAACCAGGAGCTCACCACCAGGCTCAGAGCTGGGCAAAGCCTGGCGCTGTTTGGGGCCCTGGTGCAAACCCAGCACAGGTGGCCCCCTGGGAGCAGCCGCAGGGAGTTACCAGGGACGGCTGCTCCGCGGCCTATGGGGCATTCGCTGCTGGGTCACAGTCCCCCACGCTGACGCCCAGACGTCCGTGTCACCGAACCTCCATCATGACCGGGCCCCGCTGCTGGCAGACGCAGGGCAGCAGAGAACCGACGGAGCCCGGTCCCTAGCGCTCAAACCCCAGGGCAGGGCCGCGTGCATGGATCTGTGCCCAGAGGCCTTTCCCTGGGGCCAAGTGCGCCATCAGAGCCCCCAGCCACAGGAAAGCACTTGCGTGAGACGTGTCCGGTTACAACAGCAGATTCTGGGAACCAGCTGCAGCTCAGCCCTGGGTGGGGGCAGAGGGGCTCGGCAGGGGCATTGCCCCATCCCACGAGGAGCTTGGGGGCAGCCCTGGAAAAAGGCCGGCCCTGAGCCCTTTCCATTGCACAACAGAAGGGGCGAGTGACCCCGGCGGGTTGGGAAGGGGAAGCAGCACGTGGCAAGGCCGGGCGGCCGGCTCCCAGCAGCTGCCAGGTCGCTTCCTGCCCACTTTCCGAGCGGCACTGGAGGCTGGCCCAGGCGCTGCCTGCCATTCCCACAAGTGCTTCCCTTTTGGCACCGGCTCCTCCAGGCCGGGTTGCAGACCCTTGGAGCTGTATTACCGGGCATCGCACCAAGCCAGAAAGGAGGAAGATGAGGAGAGCTCCCTCCCCCTGATGCCCAGAGAGCAGCTGGCACAATCTGAACCCATGGAAGGCCAGGGCCGGGCTAGCACTTGCCAGGATACTGACACCATGCAATCAAGGCAGCAGATTGTGTTGGTGGGCAGGGCTCCTGCACTGCCAGCTGGCAAGGGGACGGGACGCTGTGATCCGCCATCCACACCTTCATCCCCTCCCGGCTGGTCCCTGCGACAATGCTACAACACACCCAGCATGCTAAAGCTAGAGAAAAAAGAACAGGAGGACTTGTGGCACCTTAGAGACTAACCAATTTGAACATAAGCTTTCATGAGCTACAGCTCACTTCATCGGACGCTTATGCTCAAATAAATTGGTTAGTCTCTAAGGCGCCACAAGTCCTCCTGTTCTTTTTGCGGATACAGACCAACGCGGCCGCTACTCTGAAACCTGAAGCTAGAGAGGTTGACAGGAGCACGTCACACTAGCCCTCCGGCAACTCCACCAGCTCCCCATTCATCGCCAGGAGCCCTGGTCCTTGGGACCCGGCTCTCAGAGACAACCTCACCATCTGTGAGCCTCTGAGCCCCCAGGCTAGCCGGGGCAACCCAACCGGGAGAGTCCCACTGTGTCTCTTGGGCCTTAGGGGAGGGCCACTTCCAACACCATGCTGTGAAATGCCTTGCCTGAGATCACCCCAACTCTGCTCAGTCATATCTGGAATCACACACCAGCTCTGCTCCCACCAGGAACGGCCACAGGGGAATGTAAGAAGCCACAGACAGACAACACCCTACCCCATCCTCTGCCCATCACCCCCCAAAACACACACTCCTCTCCCCTCTCCATCTCTTAGCGATCACACACATCTGCAAAAGGTGAAATCCCAGCTTCGGGCTTTGAGCAAAGCTCTGCTGGGTTCTTTATTCTCTAGGAGCTATTTGCCTCCAGAGCAGCATCTTCCACACATGGTGCATCTTTTCCCCTCCCCCAAAACTCTACAGAGAGAAACAACTAGAGACGGACCAAGCGAGGAGTCCTTGGATCTGGATCGTGACTAGCCTTAGGCTCAGAGGAGGGTGTTGAAGCTGGGCTAGGGTTGGACCATGCTGACATCAGCTGTCAGCGAAAAGTCCCCGCCTCATCTGAGCTGGCACACAAGGCTCTGTTCAAGTTTTGGCTCGGTAACAAAAATATCCAGTGGCAAGTTCTGATCAGGGAATTGGTAGCCAAGCCCGGCCGGAAACACTGAAGGTTCAGCCCAGCTCAGATAGATGCCGAGGGAGAGGGAAGTGAAGCCGTGCCGGAGAGACAAGATCTGAGAAGTGACAGGAGAGGTCTGGGGAGGCTGCTCCAGGGGGCAGGAGCTGCAGAGGAGACGGCTCTTGAACCAGCAGGGGCAAGATGGTGCGACGGGCTCATGAAGGAGGCTGGTGCCAGACAAGGAGAGGAAACAGAGATGAGTAGAGGGAGTCACGGGCACATGAAGTCTGCTGGATCAAGCCCACACTGGGGGAAGGTCCCCATCCCCAGACAGAGCAATTGGGTGGTTAACAGAACCCTACCACAGGAGCGTTGGAGCAGCCGATCAGAAAGCCATGGGAGGAGGGATCCCCCAGAATCAGAGCAAGCTGGCAGCAGTCCTCGCCCTGTGAATGCCCATCCCCTCTTTTCTGCACTGGCTGCTCTCAGGCCAGTCTCTCTCTAGTATCTGAGCGCCTTCTAGTCATGCACTAAGCACGTAACATCAGTCCCGGGTGGTTCACCCTCTCCCTGGGGAGAATTGCACGTGGAGGGGTCTTGCAGGGCTGTCTTTTTTTGTGGGGGGCGGGTGGAGCAGTTCTATGCCCACGCGGCTCTGCCATTAGAACAGAGACGGCAAATCAAAGAAATGGGTCCAGCCCTCGGCGTGGAGGCCCGGGACGCTCCTTCATTCCTGTGAGCGTTGCTTCCGCAGTCTCACCCTAACCCCACCCCCAGTCAAGCTCTACCCACAGAAGCCCCTGGCAGCCAAAGGGTTAAACCCAAGCACATGGGAAACACCTGCCAAAGTAGTAACCACAAACACATCTGCTGCGCCAGGCTGCCCCGCATTTAGGCCCAGAAACCAGAGACAGCAGTGGGGGAGGGTCTTCTTGGTTTCTCCCCCTCCCCTCTGCCCACAGGGCATCTGTTGGCAACAAATGAGTTAGCGAGGGCCAGCACCAGGTGGCTGTGACAGTGCATGGCTGGAGCGGCCAGACAGGGAGGGGCTCAGCAGCCAGCAGGGCCAGCCCCCCCCCCCCCCCCGTGCCCCAGGTGTGGGGAAGGAGGATTTTGGGAGCTGGTCCAGGGCTTACTCTTCACTAACAGCAGCACACCCAAAGATGCCCCCTTAAAGGCCATCACCACTGCAGAGCTACCAATGCACTGATGGCATCACAGTCCCCACGCCCTGCCCCGGACGTTCGGCTGCACAGCACAGACCAGGCTTGGGAGTTTAGGATGCTGCTGTGCAGCTGGTTTCCAAGTTATATGGGGAGGGGCCCATGCCAGGGAGGTCAAGATGGTCTCAAGATCAAGATGTTTAAGAGCTAAATTGCCTACCTCCCTGTCTAGAGATACTCCCCTTGCGCTAAGGAGACTGGCTGGGACCCTGCCTCACCCCTATGCCCAAGAAAGGGAGAGCAAAGGTGGTTCTGTGGCCAGCCTGGATGACTGGGAAGGGGAGAGCACAGGGTACATTCAGATGGTAACTCCTCGCTCGTATCTTGCATGGCTCATCAACAGATCTCAAAGCACTTTACAAAGGAGGGCAGAATCGCTAGCACCATTTTACAGATGGGGAAACTGAGGCACGGGTCAGGAAATGTGACTTGCCCAAGGTCACCCAGCAGGCCAGTGGCAGAGCTGGAAATAGACCCAAGGACTCTCAAATCCCAGTCCAGGGTTCTAGACACTCGGCCACACTGCAAAGAGGCTCCCAGATGAGATGTGATGGGAGAAGGAGCTCAGAATCCACTTCTGCTCCCCAAGGCACTGTCCTAGCACCCCTTTGTCTTGGGCCAGGCCCATTCCTGGCTGTGTACCTGCATCCTCCCCAAACAAGGGCCACTGTGAAGCAACTGCTGAAGGCAGATATGACTCTGCGCTACAGCGGATGAAGAGAGCTCCTGAGAATGGAGGAGATTGGTCGCTCCCCTCGCACAAACGTGCCCCATCTAGGGCACGTGGACAAACAAATCCCTCTAGTGATATACCAGTGCTGCACCCTGGCCTCTAGAAAGATCTTGCAGGGATGGAGACTGGTTAAGACGTGGAAAGGAGACGCCCAGGGCAATCTCGCTGCTGCCGAAGTGGAATCAGAGATGCGGGGGCAGGGGAGTTGTTCCCATGGCAGTACTGTGCCTAACTAATGCCATTGG